AATGAGAAATCGAAGTAATGAGACCTACCCAATATGTTGAGAAAGGGACCAAGGTGGCTTTTGTGGAACAAGCCAATCTGGATAAAGTGGAACAGGGGCGAAACCTTCACTATTTTATTTAAGCTCGGAGAGAGAATGGGGTTATGGAAGCTTCGATGCCCAACAAAGGCGTGTCATGCTGGATGGAAGGGCGTGTCATGCCTGAACTCATTTGTTCTGGGGCACATCGCGCTCAAGGTTGAAATCCTCGGGGACCGCCGAGAGAAGGTCTCCTAAGTAATGTTAGACTTAGACTTCGAGACTTCAGGCAAATCCATAAAAGCGCATCCGTTTTAATTTTGAGTTTGATTATTTCAACTTTCGTTTGCTCCGTAAGGAATTTAAAATTTTTTGACAGCGCCATGCACAAAGTAAGTATTCTCTGAATTTACCATTAGCAAAATCCTCAAGAAAAGCTTTTTGTATTGAAACATTTTACAGGTACACCTATCAATCAAAGCTCAATTTTTGCGTTTCGTAATTATTGGGTATGTCAGAATAATGGAATTGTTTGCAATATTTTTCCTACACTATAATTCCCTTGATTCAAGTGTTCTATTATTCTGCGCTTGAGACCTAATTCAGGCTTATATAAACTTATTTGTTTATGATAAGAATTGTAGTTGATTGAGATTTCAGGCATAACTCCTCATGAAGTATGATGAAGGTTGTCATCATTTGGAAAAGAAATTGCTTGATTTTGTCCACAACGTATTCCGAGATGGCAATTCATTATCCTTTCATTCGTTTGATTTATTATGCTTAAAATGTGGGGGGGCATGGCCCTGTGATCGTTTCTTTCTTGCATCAAACAAAATTTACTTTCCGTCTATACTTTCGCTGTCGATCATGCTTCAGACTCTTCTTCCGCTCTCGAGGGAAGATAAACATGCAGGCGGACTGGCTAATTTTTTTGGCCCGGGCAAATTTTCAAACCGCCACAAAATAGCAAAAAAAACTCCTCGGAAATGCAAGTAATGTTTAGCTGTAAGACAACAAGTTTAAGTTCAGTAATTTGCTGCAGGATGAATGCGTAACGAAATGTTAAATAAGTCATTTGCTGATAAATAAGATAAAATAACAAAATATAAATTAACACAATGAGATAAGACATTTAACAATATTAATAATACATAAACATATATAAATAGAATAATAAATAAATGTAGAATCAGTAAATACTAAAGATGAATCAATCTAACAGAGTAAGTTAATAAATTACTAAGCACATAATTAACAGAAGAGATCCAGAATTATAGAGCTGAACAAAAAATATAAACCAACATAATCAAGATTCTTAAATATAATATATAAATAAGATAGAGAAGAACAATCTATCACCTCAACTGGTGACAATAATTCAAATCCATACAAGGACCAACAAATGGAAATATATATCATAAGCCCAAATATCGAAAATGATCATAAATATACTGACCCCAAAAGAGAAACAATGAGAGCCCCGTGAATAATTATTATACAGATAGTAAAGAACACAATAAACAAAAATAAACAAGAAATACAAAAATTTACTTATGATGTATATGCCTAATATATAAACCATACTGTATTAGTTATTGCAGTTTATTGAAAGGAGCAAGAGCAAGACCCTGCTGTTTTTTGTGACGTTTGTGGCTTTTGCTTGATAAAAAAAAGCTTTGTATCGTAGCTGAATCCTTTTTTAAGTCTCGCAGCTTTTCCTCACGAAATTTCTGTGCACCACCTTTGGTTGAAGTCTTCTTGCTCTTCCCTTGTTCTACGTATGTCCTCTTCATTACTTCACATCACAGAGCAAATCGCTTAGTGAACTCTAATTTTTGGACTTTTAAATTTATTACATTTAGCAATAGCTTGTGCTTAGGAAAAAACATGACCAGCTTCAAGCAAAAAGCTAAGTAAAGAGACATCGGGGCAGGTTAAAATCTCAAGCCCCAGCAAAACGACTAGACATTTTCACTGAACATGGACTGGACAAATGTCCAGCGTGTTGCGTCGTTTTGCCACCTTGTCCAGTCTTGTTTAGCGATATTGAATGTTGTTCAGTCGATTTTGAAGGCAACCAAAAATGTTCAGTGGACAGGATTAAATTTCTTTTGCTCACTGATGATGTACAGAAATTGTTCAGTCGTTTTGCCTCGCATTCACTTTTTAAGCTAATTCATTTTTTTGCACTTTTATCAACCGGCCCTTAAACCGACCGGCCCTTCGGGCGATCGCCCGAATAGCCCGACCAGCCAGTCCGCCCCTGAACATGGCACGTCACTGATCAATAAAAAAGACTAGATCGAGCTTCTACTGATCAAAGAGACTAATGTGACGTCGCCATCTAGACTTACTCCATGAGCCTCTGTTTCGCTACTGCCTCACTTGACGGACGCTACAACAGAATATTAAGAGAAGGTCTGCTAGACCTGTTAAGAAAATTTGTGAGCAAGGAAGGAGATGGGAAGGGACTCTACCATATATGGAAACATGATCTGGTTGAGTTTCTTGCAAGTGGCCATACCGTTTATGCTGGGCTGGCTTTTGATTTTGTCTCACAAGTTGAATTCAGCCTAAGTGAACGAAAGGCTGCTCAACTTTTGTATAACAGAACTGTGAACTTTTATGGAGGGAAGAGCAATAATATGCCAATAGATTATGCACTTGAACTCTTGAATGGTGAGGTGAAGCCTGACCTTAAACACAAATATGGGACTTTGACAAAGCAGACAATAGACAGGGTAGGAAAATCATTGAAACCATGCAGAAATGTAGAACATGCAATTGACAGGCAGCTAGAGAGATTCACAGCAATTGGGAGGCATAGAGAAAATTTTTATGAAGAAGATGTGTCTTTAATGGTTAATGAATTAAAAGAAGAAAACCTGTTTAAAAAGGTTCCAGGGAGGTATCATAAAAGTTTTGAAAAAATAAAAAACCAAAGAAATATCAATTGGTGCAAGGTGAACTCTTGGCTAAGTGGCAGAATAACAATGGCTAGTAAAGAACAGATTGCAAAGAATAATTCAAGATTTAAAGTAAATAGAACTACTGAAAGCATTAATGTTTAATTTATTTGTTTCAAAATAAGCCTATTTGTTACATACTTGTGTTAAAACAGACAACATAAAATTTGAACATAGGTAGTTCATAATGATCATCGCAACGACATAAAATTTGACCGTCACTGACAACCTATATTATGAGAGGTAATACCCAAAAAAATATGCAACTACAAATACACCATATAGATCATTTACATGTTTATTCAACTTTTTCAAATGAATCGCAAGTTCTAAATATGGGTTTATTTACATTGCATGATTATATTACATAATATTACATAAGAAACGTTATTAAAGGACTTGTGCCACCTAAATTGGTACATAATTTTATAATTGTAAATAATAGCTATCTAAAAATGTCTGCTAAATATATTCTTCAAATAGTCTTTCAAGTATTTATCAACACTTTTTCATTTAAAGTTTACTTAAAGTTTACTAGGGCCCAGATTGGAAAGTTAACTATGCACTTATATTTGTTAACATATATTTATAGCTGGAACTCATAGCTGTACAAATCAAACTTGGCCACTGGACCACTGCATCAAGGGAGGTTATGGGGGCAGTAGCAATGCCTCTCCAAATATTCTTTAGTGATAAAAAATTTATACCCTATCATCTTCGGATAGGAACAGGTGACACAGGCCCTGTGCTTTATACATTTAAAAGTTATCCAAATCAATTGAATTATAATCAATATTTTAATAAATGAATAACAATTACAAACTGTCTTATATATAAATTACATTCAAAAGATAAAACTTTGCGATTGAGCAGAAAAAGATAATAAGCAGATGTGGGGAATAGTCTAGGCCAATTATCATGCTTTAACTGTCGTCAACCCCTTTCGTATTGAATGGGCATTCAAGTGCTGTAAGGAATCACTAACTTACCAGTGAGAGATGCAATGTGCTTCATCAACAACAACTGTGGAAATTTTTTCACTAAAACTTTTTGATGAAATAACTTCCCGCCAATTTGAATCAAATGCTGCCTCTGGTGTAATAAACAAAACCTGTATATCACCGGACCTTACACGCTGCTTAACACTAATGTCGGCCTGCAATTCGCCCACAAAAGCTGCATTAATGCCAAATTTGGCGAAACGGTCAGACTGCTCTAGCATAAGACTGGCTAAAGGTGATAAAACTAATGTTTTACTTTCGAACTTCTGTCCTGTTGTTGGATTACATAGGGATGTCTTCAAAGAAAAAAGTTCGTGCAAAAATGCAAAACACAAAGTCTTTCCACTTCCAGTAGGAGCGAACACAAAAACATCCTTTCCAAAGTACACTTTTCGGTAGACTTCGCGTTGAAAATCTTTGAAAACAATACCGTGTCTTCGTTCAATTTCGCTTATAATACGGTCGCAGTTATCCGCCATTACTCGACAATACAATTTGGCGCGCTAACTAACACGGGGGTAAGGATGGTTTTAAAAATTTACCTCGTTATGAAAAAATTTTTGGTGTCAGCCAATCAGAACGCTGCATTTCCAAATACTGCTCTGTGATTGGTAGGACAAAAAGTTGTCCTGAGCGCCAGTTTTTGAATACTTTGGATTATGAGTCTCTGTTGTAGCGTCCGTCAAGTGAGGCAGTAGCGAAACAGAGGCTCATGGAGTAAGTCTA